AGAGAGAGAGACAGAGAGAGAGCTCTGGTAACGTAGTGGTTACGAATTGGGCTGTGAACCTCAATGTCAGCAGTTCGAAACTACCAGCTGTTCCATGGCAGAAAGATGAGGCTTTCTGCTCCTGTAAAGATTTACAGCCTCGGAAACCCTGTACAAGGTCGCTATGAGTCGGAACCGACTTGACGGCACATAACAACAATATATATATATATAAAATGAGAGACAGAGAATGAGGGAGAGACTGAGATGTGGGAGTGTTGATAAAATGAGAAGCAAAGGTAGAGAATAAGATTGGTCTGATTACTTCCCCTCTTCATATCTGCCGTCTGGATTTGGGGCGACATCTTGCTTCTCTCTGCGATGGTTAGAAGCAGTCATTTGAAGTCTTCATTCAATTACTTGAAGATAAGATGAAATGGAGAGAGAAAGGAAGGATAGAACCCCCCAAATTATTTCAAATTGGATACTTATTTCTTTGTGTTCCTGTCCTCATCCTGGCATTCTAGATAGAGTCGTTTCTTAGCTCCCCTCTTTATCTCCCTTGTACCATTATGGAAGCAGGCAGGAAACACTGAAAGAACCAATGAATGAATGGGCAGTGATATAGCCCAGATTCATGACAAGCAGTCTTACTTCATATTCTCCCTGTGAGAGCTTAGCCTCACTAAGGGGAGAGAGGGAGGTCATTTTTGAGGACTCCAGCCCAGAGGGTCAGGAAGAGCAGTTTACAAAGGGGTAGAAGCCCAGGTATAAATTTAGGGAAACCAATTGCATCACTGTGGTGGGTAACTGATGGTGTCACACACTCTTCCCCCCACTAGAAACTTCCTCAGGTGCCAAACCATACAGAATCCTTAGCAATGTTCATTAACAACTTAAATCATAGAATATGCAATAAATGGCTTAAATGTAATATCTCTTAGATTGTCTGTATACTAACAAGATTGTTTTTTAAAATCTTTCTACATTGAATTAAAACGGTGTCAGCTACAACATTCTTAGTAGCTGGGTGGGATCCTTTTAAAATTTGTCTCCTTTTCCTTTAATTATGATTTCATTCTCAAAAACTTATTAATATATGTTCACAAATAGTACCATAATATTGTAGCGAAAAATAAGAAATGTTGACAAAATCAGATACTATAAAAGCACCATCAGCAAGGAAAACAACAGCGTGTGCTTGTAGTTTGCAGATGAAACCCGTGATTTGATACATCATGGTAATTGTGCAATAATGACAGCGCTAATCAGCGCAAGTAAATTAGCGCGGAGTTTTGTTGTTACTGTTGTTAAATGTTGTTGAGTCTATTCCAACTCACAGTGACCCTGTGCAGGGTTTCCAGGAGTGGCTGGAACCTCTGATCTTGCATTTAGCAGTCCAATGCTTATCCTACAGCGTCACACCAGGACTCCAGCACAAAGTTTTAGCTTTGTGGATATATCGATACATGTAATTTTGGTTTACAAAAAAATGTTTTTGTTATAATGAACTACAGGGATATTTTTATTTCAAAAAGTTCTGCTGAAACACATCCCCAAAATTTTATCGACTGTCAATTTGATCACTCCTTCTGACAGTGCCATCCAGTGTGTCCACACCCCACACCACCCAGTGACGCTACTGACACCCAAGAAGAGGGAAAAATTCCTGGCAAGAAAACCAAGAGTCACATGAACAGTTAGCTTCTTTCTGCTCTCTCCTTGGATCTTGGGAAAATTTGTGTGTTTGAAGGGATCCTCCCTCTCTGTAAGGCGTCCTATCCCTTGGCATGAACGTGTTGCTCTCCTAAGGATGGGTAGACATGGACTAGTCTTCTGAAGGCTAGTCAGCCTGCAGATTACGTGGAGGGGGTTTGGAGGAGAGGGCGGTACTAAGAAAGCACGTGCTCTCATCTAACTCTAAGCAAATTAGATTGGTGGGCTTTGAGTATGGGACCCCATGCTATTTGGGAAGGAGCGTCGGTCCAGGTGTTTAGTTCAGGAGTGTGTTCCTGAAATGCTTGAGTCTAATTGTGGTGCTGATTAACGGCCAAACTCGGAAACCCCATATAGGGTCGGAATCGACTTGACGGCTCTTAACAACAACAACATACAACCCTTCAGGGCCCGACCGGGGTGTTTGCTGGAGGGGAAGAAGGGTTGCAGCGCTGGAGGGTGGCCCGGGGAAGGGGTGCAGAAGGGACAAGGCTTCCAGACAGCGGGGGAGCGGGGGAGGGCGCCGAGGCGTGGCGCCGGCTGCCGCGCGGAGGGGCCGGGGTTCGTGGGCCGAGCCGAGCTGCGGGCACGCTCGGGGAGCGGCGGGCGGGGCTGCCGGGCGCAGTGGGGCCGGAGCGGCGGCGGCTGCTGAGCGAGGGGCACCTGAGGAGGAAGGAGGGGAGTCAGGGAGGGAGACCAGCGCGTACTGAAAGTGGGCAGCAGGTGCAGGCAGGCAGCCAGGCAGAGCGACCTCTCCCGGGGCCCGCGGGCGTAGGAGCCCCGCGAGGTCGAGCTGGGCGGCGGCGCGGGCCGAGCTAAGGGAGGAGAGGAAGGCGGAGGCTCCAGGAGCGGGTTTGGGGCGCCGCGGCGGGGAGGGTGGCGGCTGCCAATGCGCGCGGGGCGCTGTGTGTGCGCGCTCCCAGGCTTAGAGAGGAAGATGGCCCAGAAGGGAAAGTTGGGGTGACGCGCGTGGCCCCCGGAGGCTTGACTGAGGGCGCTGCGGTGAGCCCGACGGAGCGGCGGTCACACAGGCCGGAGGGCGCGCGGTTTGGGTGCAGCCTCCTCGGCCGAGGCGCCCGTCCCCTCACTGCAGGTGGCCGCGGGTTCGCTGGGTCCGGGCGGCCGGGGGCGCAGGCGAGCGCGCGGGGACCCCGGCCGAGGGATGGGCTGCGCCCCCAGCATCCACGTCTCGCAGAGCGGCGTGATCTACTGCCGGGACTCGGACGAGTCTAACTCGCCTTGCCAGACCACCAGCGTGTCGCAGGGCCCCGCGGCGCCCCTGCACGGCCTCTTCGTCCAGACCGACGCCGCCGACGCCATCCCCCCCAGCCGCGCGTCTGGAGCCCCCGGCGCCGCCCGAGTCCGCAAGGCCCGCGCCGAGCTGGGCAGTTGCAGCAGCGCGGGCTCCGCAGCCCCGGCCGCGACCACCTGCAGGGGCCGGAGGCGCCACTGCTGCAGCAGCGCTGAGGCCGAGACCCAGACCAGCTACACCAGCGTCAAGGTAAATGCTAAGCGCTGGCATAGGCTGGCAAGAGTCGCCCGTCCCGTCTGGGCCAGGCTTGCACTGGTAGGGGGCTCCGGCAGAGTTGAGTAGCCGTTACGTGGTTGGTTTGGGCAGGTTGTCTCTGAGGGGAGTTTACTTTTCATTTGTGAGGGTGGTCAGGGGCCAGGAAACGTGAGCAGGAAAAGACCCCTGAAGGAGAGCGAGGAGCGACCTAAGCGGCTTGTGTGGGACCAGGTGGAGAAGGGAGTGCAGCTGAGAGCAGCTGGGCCCCACGATTTCTCATTGAGAGGAGGACGGCGGTGGCTGAGTTTGTGCAGGAGGGGCGGGGGTGTCATTCAGAGCGTTCCGTGGCGAGTGCAATTGAATGAAATCAGAGCTCCAGTCTGGCTTTGCATGCCTTGTAGATGGCTGGTGCAGCATGGGTGCAAGGAGCGGAGGGCGCCCTGGATTCAGATATTTACCTGGGAGAACGAGCCAGGCTCCATGGAGTCTCAGCCACAGCAACTGAGTGTGGAGATTTGTATATGAGTGAGGGTGTTTGCCTATGTTTTGACGAGAGGTGTAGGCAGGGAACAGAGGAAGAGGATCAGAGTGGAACCTGTTGTTTGAAGCTTCAGTTTTTTTCCTCTGGGTTGGTTGGGTTCTAGACATAATTGTGAGAACCTGGCCAGGAGTTTGAAGGGTCAGCTGAACAACGGTGAGGTACAGTGGTTGTCAATGCAGTGCAGGTGTCTGAAGATGAAGAGTCTGCACATACGCTTCGCTGACCTTCCAGGGGATTCTGAGGAAAAGGAAAAAAGCAAAAGAATGATTTAGCATTCACTAGTTATTTCTTAATGACAGAGGAAAATTATTATTTTCACAGAGAGCACTGTATGCTCTCAAAATACTATCAAATCCAAGAGGGTTTATTGTGTAAATCTGGGCACTGGGTTGTTTTTGTTTTCTACTTTTCCTTACAGCAAACAGCCTAGCAATGACATATCCCATTGTGTGGAGGAGAAAAAATACATTTCCATGTTTGATGGAATCGTTGATTTTACATGGTCTCTAGATTACTGGGGACCATTGCATTGACTGGCAAAGATACATTTGTATATTACAGTAGTTGAGAAAGTTGTTAAACAGTTGGCCTAGGGTGAGGAGGAGGTTGCTTGTCTTCATTGGATGAAGTCAGCTTTTTTCTTTGGGGGGGGGGTGTTATAGTTAAAGGATAATCTGTATTGCCTTCAATCTTGAAGACCAAAAGCTTCTTACAATGAACTTAAAAATGTAAATCAGCATCTGATTTTGCAACGTGAAACTTCCTGTTTTTATTAAGTGCCACCAAGTCGGTTCCAATTCATAGCGCCCCTGTGTAGGGTTTCTGAGGAGTAGCTGGTGGGTTTGAACTGCCGACTTTGTGGTTCTCAATACAGTGTTTATGCTACAGCACCACACCAGGAGTCCACATGAAGCTTAGCTGATGTTTATTTGTAGTTGTAGTATTTCTCTGATAATAATTATAATCATCATTATAATCAATAATGCCATTTAATGAGCACATACTATGTGTCAGATATAAGCTTTCTCTTCTAGCTGTTGAATGTGAAGTTAGGAGAGAAGAATAAAGACCTGTATTCATGACAGTTGTTGGTTGCCTTCGAGTCAGCTCTGATTCATGGCCACCTTATGAATGAATAGAATAGCAGAAATAAATATTGCCTGGGTTTGAACCATTTTCATGACCCTTAATGTGTTTGAGGTATTCTGTTCATTCATTTTATTGAGGGTTTCTCTCCTTTTCGTTGACCCTCTATCAATCATGATGTCCTCAACCTACCAATTGCATATTTGTTGTAGAAGCATGGGCCAAACACAATATTTTTTACTTTGTCTAATTTTTCCTTCCTCCCCCTGTTGTTGTTGTTAAGTACCGCGGAGTTGTTTCTGACTCATAGTGACCCTACACAGGCTTTCCAAGGCTGTAAATGTTTACAGGAGCAGAAAGCCTCATCTTTCTCCTGTGGAACGGCTGGTAGTTTCGAACTACCGACCTTGAGGTTAGTAGCCCAATTCGTAACCACTATGCTACCAGAGCTCCTTCCTTCCTCCCCCTAGTTAACATTAAATTAGTTTTAGGAGCAACTTCAGGAGATGAAAATATTGTATTTGGTGAAATAAATTTGGATGTTATTAATAAAGTCTATTCTTTTGTGTGCTTTTTGAAAAGGCAAATTAGAGACATGAAGCAGTAGTTCAAAATGGTTACAGCTCATGAACTCTGTAACCTTTTTTTTGGGGGGGGGGGGTTGGTCAAGAGGTGTATTTTTGCCTTTCAGAGCAGCAAGAAGCTCAATTTAGAATCTGGCAACTCTACCTACTGCTTCTTTGCCCAATGAAACAAAGACTAATGAATGAACCTATTCTCTGTGTTTTAATACTTCTCTCAAGAGGCTACTTGGAGACCAAATGGAGTTAAAACTGGAGGGAAAATGAGTCCCAATTATTAGCAGCTAGTATAAACTTTGTATAAATCTCTTGGTTACTTGGCTTAAGTGCTGAAAGTTTGACCTGGGCAGGAATTTAACTCACTCTGCTTTACCAACAAGGTTCCCAAGTAAGAGCATCTTCTTATTGCTGGTTCAGTGATTGACAGCTAATTTGCCCTGGGTTGATCTCAGAACTACATATTTGAAGTTTGAGGCCAGAAATATTATTAACACAAACCATACAGAATTATTAACATAGAAATATATCTCATAGTGTCCTTTTAGGATCTGTATGTCAGTGGCATCGTTTTCGATCTTAAAAGTTCACATATTTTTTATGCTTTTGTAAATGAGACAGTTTCATAAAAACTTCACCTTCATTTCCTTATACTTTCACATTTTTTACATAATTGCTAGCCATTCCCCTTTTACCCCATTTCCAAAATTGTTGTTTTCTACCTAAGTGTCCTCGAGTTGGTTCCGACTCATAGCAACCCTGTATAGGGTTTCCAAGGCTTTAAATATTTTTTCTTTTTTTCTTTTTAAACTTTTTATTGTGAATTGAGTGCAGGTTTTACAGACAAGATCATCTGTTTTACATTCAACAAAGCACACATTGGTTTCATCTCAATGATTACAATCCCCTCCATTCAACAGTAGTTATCCTCCTTCCTCCCTGGGGTTCCCATTTGTGTTCCACTCACCTTCCTGTCCCTTCTCAACTTTGTCCCGAGGAAAATACTGCCCTTTTGCTTTTGAGTGATTTACTGTTCCATGGTGAACATTCCTCACCAGTGCTGTTGTCCTGCCTATAAAACTGTCCACTGCTAGGGTGAAAATTGGGCCACGAGGGTAAGTTTCATTCCAGACCTGAAGGGTTGTTGAGATCCATCGTCTCAGATTCCTGGTCTTCTTCTTTAATTAAATAATTTTGAGTTTTGTTCTTCATTAGGTCCCACTCTATCTGGGACCTTTTCATGTGCTCCCTTTCAGAGCAGTTGGTAGTGGTAGCTGGGCACCATCTAGTTCTTCTGGTCTCAGAGTTATGGAGACTGATGTTCACATGTTCCCTTAGTCCATTGGACTAATTACTTCCAAGCCTCTTCAGTTCTCATCACTCTTTGTCCTTCCACACATGAGGAGACCAATAGTTGCACAAGGCTTTAAATCTTTGCAGGAGCAGAAAGCCTCATCTTTCTCTCATGGAGTGGCTGGTGGGCTGGAACCAGTAACCTTATGGTTTGCAGTCCAGTGCTTATCCTCTGAATACTCAGATGCAAAAACAGTCTTGGCCATTTGGTTCGGTTTATGGTGATGGTGGGTTGCACTAGTGGTTTCTCCACTTCTCTTTGTACATCAATTCTCTTTGTATTCTCATCATGTACTTGGTTCCTGGTATTTCCCAGAGTGCAAAAATGTGTGCTTGATCTCTTTTTCTTTTTTCCTAAGCTTTTAGAATGATGAAGCATTATGATGTCAGATATGATGTCAACAGAAGCCTTCCTGCATACCTAATTAAAAAAAAAAAAACAGGGATTGTAAATATTAATAATTCATGTGCAGTACAGTGATATCATATTGTCATATGGGTTTCCATTTCTGGTAAGAAGTTTAGGTTTGTCTCCCAATTGCTGTAATAATACAATTTCCTAGCAATTTGTCTCCTTCTTGCTTGCCTTTTTAGAAGTAGTACTCCGACATGAAAATCCTGCAGAATGCTCACTCCTGATGCCGTGCCAGTTTTGTAATTCTTGTTCCAAAATCCTCAGAGGAGTTGATTGAACCTCTCTCTGGGAAGACTCAGGGAATCTTACAAGTCTTCTTTTCTCATATCAGCTGTGGCTGCTGGGAATGCATCGGGGACTAGAGAGTGAGGCAGTTGGTTGTAAGGAAGAGTCTTTGCTGATAATACAGTCAACTTGCTATTACTTCTGTGTAGGCTCACTGTTTTGTAGATCAGGTACCCCAAACCTATCCACTGCTATTGAGTTTGGTTCCAACTCGTTGTGACCTAATAGGAGGTTACTATTCTCCAAATGATTTTTGTACTGATAGGCAACATCACCAACTCACCCTTTCTCCTCCATTCATTGTGTTCATTTATTCACTTAGCCAATATTTGTGTCAGACCCCGTTGTAAGTGTTAGGGACTCAGGGAATATTTACAAAGTTTGGTAAGCAAAGCCTGGTGTGGAGCATAGATTTCTTGCAAGAAGAATGTTCTTGTGCCAATTATCAATGACTTCTACTTCACCTATATGATAACTTTCCAGAATCAGTGAAGTCTATAGAAAGGGCCAATGAAGTGATTTTTTTTTTTTTTTTAACTATGGTAAATGATTAATGAGATTTTATTTGGAGGGAGGAGTGTAACTGTTTTGGAAAAAGTCATTTTTGTTTGTTTTCTAGATTGGTTCTACTCAAATTTCAGTGAGCATTACAGTCATCTGAAGGACTTCTTATCACTGTTGTGCCCAACCCTGGAGACAACTCTAATTTAGGAGGCCTTGAGTGGGCCCTGAGAAT